CTACTCTACTCTACCCTACTCTAGTCTACCCTACTCTACTCTACTCTAGTCCACCCTACCCTACTCTACTCTACTCTACTCTACCCTACCCCACCCCACCCTACTCTACTCTACCCTACTCTACCCTATTCTACTCTACTCTACCCTACCCTACCCTACTCTACTCTAGTCTACCCTACCCTACTCTACTCTACCCTACCCCACCCCACCCTTCTCTACTCTACCCTACTCTACCCTATCCTACTCTACCCTACCCTACTCTACTCTAGTCTATCCTATCCTACTCTACTCTACCCTACCCCACCCTACTCTACGCTACCCTATCCTACTCTACTCTACTCTATCCTACCCTACCCTACCCTAGCCTATCCTACTCTACTCTACTCTACTCTATCCTACCCTATCCTACTCTACCCTATCATACTCTACTCTATCCTACTATACCCTACTCTACTCTATCCTACTCTACCCTACCCTACCCTATCCTACTCTACCCTACCCTACCCTACCCTACTCTACTCTACTCTACTCTACTCTACTCTACTCTACTCTCCCCTGATGTGTTTCCTCTGGTCCTCTTTAAACAGTACCAGGTCCTTCTTTAGTCCCTCTTGGTCCTGGTTCCATCCAGGCCGAGCTGGTACTAAAGTGTTCTAACTGACAGTGAGAGTGCTGCTGGAAGCCACGGCTACCCAGGAATTTCAATGAACACCAGCTACTAAAGTGTAATGGAAACAGAAGAAGGTAGAGTAGAGTAGTATTGTTCTCAAGTGTTTTGTGTCTAGAGTTGTGTGTCTGCCTCAGTTTGAGCTGGTGGTGTGCCCTGTGTGTGTTTGAAATGAAAAAGGTTGGGGGACACTGCTCTATGACCCTGTAAACCTGGGATAATGTTATTTATGGATGTCCTGGCACCAGAGCGGCCTGAAGAACACTCACCTTATTGCTCTGTGTGTTTGCTGCTCTGCACAAACAAACCACTTTATTCTTTATTGAAAGGATCAGACACGAAATCCACTTCAACGAGGACTGAGCGGAAAACAAACGCTGTTGTTCTTGTTGTGACCAAAAACCATTATTATTACACCTCTCAAACAGTGTCGGGAAAGTGATCTTCCTAGTGCTATTTCAAAGTAATGTAACTGCAATATTACTGTATCTGAATTATAAAGCATTACTCTACTACTGCATTACTTTGAAGTTACTTTCACCAAATATATAAATGCAAACTAAATGTAGCTTATGATGCTAGCATGAGGTTGAGCTTTTGGTTTAAACATAAACGCAACTGTTGTGTTCCACATCTTTAACAAACTCTAAATAATGAATCTCTCCATCTGTAAAATGTACTCTCTCTAAGGTCTCTCTCTGGTCTCTCTCTGGTCTCTCTCTGGTCTCTCTGGTCTCTCTCTAGTCTCTCTCTAGTCTCTCTCTGGTCTCTCTCTGGTCTCTCTCTTGTCTCTCTCTTGCTGGTCTCTCTCTCTGGTCTTTCTCTCTGGTCCCTCTCTCTGGTCTCTCTCTGGTCTCTCTCTGGTCTCTCTCTGGTCTCTCTCTTGTCTCTCTCTGGTCTCTCTCTGGCCTCTCTCTGGTCTCTCTCTGGTCTCTCTCTGGTCTCTCTCTGGTCTCTCTCTGGTCTCTCTCTGGTCCCTCTCTCTGGTCCCTCTCTCTGGTCTCTCTCTGGTCTCTCTCTGGTCCCTCTCTCTGGTCTCTCTCTAGTCTCTCTCTTGCTGGTCTCTCTGGTCTCTCTCTGGCCTCTCTCTGGTCTCTCTCTGGTCTCTCTCTGGTCTCTCTCTGGTCTCTCTCTGGTCTCTCTCTGGTCCCTCTCTCTGGTCCCTCTCTCTGGTCTCTCTCTGGTCTCTCTCTGGTCCCTCTCTCTGGTCTCTCTCTAGTCTCTCTCTTGCTGGTCTCTCTGGTCTCTCTCTGGTCTCTCTCTGGTCTCTCTGGTCTCTCTCTGGTCTCTCTCTGGTCCCTCTCTCTGGTCTCTCTCTGGTCTCTCTCTGGTCCCTCTCTCTGGTCTCTCTCTAGTCTCTCTCTTCTGGTCTCTCTGGTCCCTCTCTCTGGTCTCTCTCTGGTCTCTCTCTGGTCCCTCTCTCTGGTCTCTCTCTAGTCTCTCTCTTTGCTGGTCTCTCTGGTCCCTCTCTCTGGTCTCTCTCTGGTCTCTCTCTGGTCCCTCTCTCTGGTCTCTCTCTGGTCCCTCTCTCTGGTCTCTCTCTAGTCTCTCTCTTGCTGGTCTCTCTGGTCCCTCTCTCTGGTCTCTCTCTGGTCTCTCTCTGGTCTCTCTCTGGTCTCTCTCTGGTCTCTCTCTGGTCCCTCTCTCTGGTCTCTCTCTGGTCTCTCTCTGGTCCCTCTCTCTGGTCTCTCTCTGGTCTCTCTCTGGTCCCTCTCTCTAGTCTCTCTCTTGCTGGTCTCTCTGGTCCCTCTCTCTGGTCTTTCTCTCTATTCTCTCTCGGTCCATGTGTAAAATGTTCTATTGTCCACATAGTGTCTGCTTCTGTTTTAGCCT